TTTTTTTTTTTTTTATAATATTCATTATATTTATTTATTATCAAATATTTTATTCATATAAAAATCTACATAAACGACAATTTTATCCATGCAGGGCCTAAGGGATCATCATTCATCTCCTAGGCTCCGAACACCCTTCCCGCTTCTATGAGTTCTCTGTACTTTCCTTTCGCCTAAGGGATCATCATTCATCATCATCCATTATTATCATGACTTCTGGCGGGTCCGTAGGATTGCTGCAGACTAGGCGGCTCAAAAGGAGAGTCCAGTGTTCATATGGAATCCTTCCCCGCCGAAATGGTTGTTGTTTCGTGCGTCGCATGCATCCCCTGCACCGCCCGCGTTTGGGGAGGGCTCCATCCATCCATCCCATCCAATCCAATCCAACCCATCCATCCATCCCGTGCGGCGGATATGCGAGGCTGGTGTGCGGAGCGAAACAAATAAAAAAGTGATTGTTTGGTAAACAAGAACGTCCCAAACAACCACCAACACATGGTTACTGCTTTGTCCTCGCGAATCCCACACTGTACATTGTACAAGGCGGTCAAAGCGGCACAAGAGGCAGGCCTTTCTCTTGGCGTACTTGCTGGACAGCTTCAACATCGCCACTCAGCTTGTCCCACCACAGCAGCTCCCAGCTGGACAGTTGTGGAAAGTCCCACAGCTTGTCTAAGGGCAGCGAGCCGACGGGCAAGCCCTCGCTGGAATCAATTGGGGAGAACCACGTCCTCTGCTCCATCTGTTGATAGAGACCCCAGTGCGGCAGGTTGACTCTTGCCATCGGCCTCAGCAGCACTGGCTGCGCCGAGAGAAGCGCTGCGCGGAAGTCAGAGGCAGCAGCCATGCCATCGGCGTCGAAACGAACTCCACATACCTCAGTTGCTGAGCAAAAGGTCATTCACCTTTTGTAGGCTTCATGGAAAAGCCATGTGTTTCCAAAAAAGAAAAACCATTTGGTTTAGCCCCGATACAGACTGCTCACAAAGAGGACCACTTTGAACCGCCGACGCAAAGGATGCACAGAGCGCTTCGCAGCGAACCGGCTTAGCCGGGCCAAGCAGCAGGTTACCCTTCCTGGAGCCAACAATCCTCTCTGCATCCTCATCAGGCCAGCCCATGGTCAGCACAAAGGACTTGAGTTTGGGAAGTAGCACGTCCTCTTCCAACTTTTCGGCCTCTGACAACGCGAGATACTTCACCAGCGCCTCTTCGAGCGGTCTGGCAGTCACCTTGCCAACAGAGCCTACGCCCTCCACGCTCTCCCGGCACAGAGGTGCATTCTTCTTGCTGAGCTCCAGCCCAGGAAAAGCTGCCGAAAGATCCTTGAAATTGATTTCCAAAGAGAGCCGTGAGGGAGCGCTCGCCACTAAGAAACCATCTCCCACGATCACGTCCATCAGGTGGCTTGTTTTGGACAGCCATCCAAAGCACCGTTGAATATCCGCGCTACTTTGGCTGGCTGGCTGCCAGATCTGCTGCCAAAGCGGCGCCATCATCGTGCTAGAAAGTTGTTTGTGCCAGGGCGACAAAAAACAAGCGTCTAAATGAACTATGCTGTTAGGGGGGTCCACACTCAATCAATGTGACTTGTCTGGAGACACTCTTGGCTTAGGTTGGCTGGGGCTTCGCCCACCTCGAGCAAAGCTGCAACAGCGCGATGCTTTGAGAAGGGATCAATATGCAAGCATTGCTTGCCATGTAAGGGACAACCCTTATAAATGGCCCCGACGATGCTTTATGTTTGATCCTTCCAAAAGGAACACTGTTAGGACACCTGTTGTTTGAACAAAGGGGGTCTTTTCCATGCGTCCCATCTTTTAGAGTGGGTCTTTAAAAGGACACATCTGGAAACTAACCAGACACTTCTGGAGTTGCCATTTAATTTATGACAAGCCCAATGGAACCCTGCGCCAAACATCACCATTTCCATTTATAACTACTAGGGAAAGCTACGCTCTAAGAGAGAAAGCTAAAAGCAGAAAGAGAAGGAGCCCGCCTTGGTTGCAGTTTCGGTTCTAAGTTCGGTCAACCGATGTTGCCTGTCGGAGATTGAACCAACCAATCAATCAACAACCAACCAGCAAGTCCTAGGCATCCCTATACCAATACCTTGCCAAAATCACCATGCGAAAAATAACCGTAAATCAGAATGCTAAAAAGTCAATGCTAGTAAGACTATCAGAACTTGTTCGTTTTTGATATATATACGAGTAGGGCCGGCGGAGCCGATAGGCGCAGGTTTCACACGCATAATGTATATACTATAGTCCTCTGTGTTTTTTTCTTTTCTTCTGGCTGCGTGTCATCGTCCATCTTCTTCTTCTTGGCTTCTTGTGTTTCGTTTGTCAACTCCGTTCTTCTTCTTTTTCTGCCGTTCTGTCCTTCCTTCCTTCTGTCCGTTTTTCTTTCATGTTGTTTCTTTCTTTTTGTTTTCGTGGCTTCTTCCTTGCTTTGTGTCTTTCTTTGCGTCTTGTTCCTTGCTGTCATCATGTGTTCTTTCTTTTTCCTACCTTCTCTCTCTCTCTCTCTCTCTCTCTCTCTCTCTCTCTCTCTCTCTCTCTCTCTCTCTCTCTCTCTCTCTCTCTCTCGCGGCCGACCGAGTTGAGCTGTGCGCTGAAATTCCTATGTTGTAAAGCTCTCTTCGAACTCCTGTTCATCGAGCTGCGGCTTGAGAACCTTGTTGGGCGTTCCTTCCAGCTGATGCTGTTGCTCTTGTTGCTGTGGGGCCGCCATTCCTTCTGTGTTGTGTGGAAAGGCCGCCAGATCTTTCCAGGCGCGCAACTGTGTTCACAGCTCCGCTGCCATGTTAAACTTGGAGCAACTGTGTAAACTGATTACCTGAATTGTAAACCTGTGAGTGCATCAAACCGGCAATGTTGCACTCCTCTTGTACTGGGGCGACGCTGTAGGCTCAAGGCCTTGATCAGATGTATCGAATGCCACATGTAGCGCAAGCTGCACAAGGGTTATCAAGGCATGCTGTGCTATAGCAGTGGGTGGCAAATATATATATACATGTAAAATATATATTTCAACAAACACTCACCCCCAAACTAGGTGTGGACCACACCAGCTTATGCTTGCACTTGCAACAAACATCAAACAATGGCTGCAGTTCCCTACCAAAATCAGCTTCAACTGCCCCATACGCTTTTACTCTTGGCCCACTTAACTTTGTCAGTCACAAATCCAAAACCAACTGTGACCCTGAAATCTCAGAAACATCCCCAGCTCGAAGAATGCCAACTATTTACTAAGCCTTGTTTAACAAGTGGAAAAAAGCAATCAGGGCAAGGGAACCCCAAGCAACACTCCAAAACCAGAAATCGGGCCATTGTTTAAGTGGAACGGAATGGTGCCCCGCCCCCACCCTCAACTTCATGACGCGTCGGCCTAAGCTGGCAACATGTCGAGAGTATGGCAGTCAAAGCAAACACCTTTTTGCATGTGGCTTGAATTCATGTAACCTGTAAGACGTTGCCCTCGTTTTGGAGGCAGGGAACCTACTGAGACTCTGAGGCATGCAATGGCAGGCCTATCAGTCAGTCTCCATATCGTCGGGTCCTAAGCCGCAGCAAATCTTCCCTCTTCGCGCGTGCTCTGCTTGCGCCTGGTCTGCCAGAGTCACATTCCGTCTCATTGCCCAAGCTCGAGCACCAAATGCTCCGGTGAGCCTCCCCAGTGAAGCCCGCTCGAATACACATTGAACAGCTTTATGGCATATCTATATTGTTAATGCACATCCACTCTTGTACATGACCTTGGCCTTTCTGTGCATCCTGGCCTTGAGCCTATCTACAAGATAGAGCTACTGAGACAACAAGTGCCGTGCTGACACATCACAGGTTTGACACATTTAGGTCATCAGGTGTTTACACAGTTAGTTCCACTTTAACGTGGTAGCGGAGCAGTGATCCCTGGCACACGATCCACCACCACAACCCAGGGTGAGCTCCATCACACACCCACAGGTTCAGGCACACAGTAGTGAGCAACATGACACAACAACAGCAGCAACAGGAACAACAGCACACAGATACAAGATATCACCACCACGGTTCACAGGAGAGTACAACACCTTCGAAGAATGGAAGTACAAGATGACAGCATTCTTGGGATTACAAGACCCAGCATACAACAGACTGTTGAAACAGTCAGAGCAATCAACAGGACAAGTTACAAACGACCAACTTGAGAATGCAGCACCTTCACAAGCAGTAGCAGAGCAATGGGTACAACTGAGCAACAGTCTACACTACCTCTTGGTGAGCACATGCGATGGACCAGCATCTACAATTTGCTGAAACATGGCGGCTGATACATGCAAGATACTCCATACCACTTGGTACACGAAGCATTGGGTACCTAACAAGGTTACTCAAACCACAACTTGATGAACAGAAGTTCGAAGAGAGCTTCACAACATGGGAGTTTCAACTCTCCAGGTACGAACAAGACAACAGCACACTACTACCAGACGCAGTCAAGATTGCAATACTGCTCAATGAGACAAAAGGACCACTACAGCAACATCTACAACTTCAAGCAGGAAACATCAAAACATAGGTGATCGAGTACTACAGAGCAACAGCATCATTCTATTATACCAAGCTACAAGCAATCACAACACGCAGCAACAACCAAGGACCGGCACCGATGGAGTATTCGTGCGCATCAACAACCACCAAGAATTCCATCAGAGTAGTGGCAACCTGACTCTGACCGCAACGAGGGTGATGGAGATGTGCGCAAACGCGGGCGTCCTGGTCACCGACAACGACCTCATGTGGAAGCTAGTATCTGGATTGACGTACAGCAACTACAGCTGCACCGGAGACTCCAAGCTCTTCTACGTATTGCAAAAGAGGCTGATCGTCGAGATGATCATGGACGTGCTCACGCTGGATGCGCAAACGGTTTCCGACCTGGAAGATGCATGTGTGGGCGTGTCCCCGCTGCAATTCAACGTGCCCCAAGGCGCAACGGGCGGACATGTCCGCTATCACTACAAGCCGGACTTCACTGCTCACTTCAACAAGCAGAAGAAATATCATGAAGAGCAACGAAGAGAAGGCAAAGCGTTCGGCAAGGAGGACGGCGACGACATGCGATCGAAGCGGTGCTACTTTGAAGACGTTGCGGATGTACTTTGCGCACAATGTCATGCAGAGGGAGCCCAATCCACAGCTGACCATCAGTACTTTGCGGATACATGCATCAACTGCCACGCGAACGGGCTGATCGAGCAGAACACCATGTACAAAGGGGCCGACCGCCCCGACATCATGAAAAGATTCTTTGCTGAGTGCAGCCTGGTGCTCGGTGACATCAACGAGCTTGAGAGTGTTTTCGATGGGGACATGGAAACTTTCGTGCAACACCTCATCGTGAATCTGTTCAACAAGAAGTTCGCGAAGGAGCTGTCGCAGATTGGTGGCATTACGCTCGACAAGGACTCTTTCGCTGACTACTTCCGCAGTAGCAATGGGAAGCAACTGTGGGTTGACGAGCTGTCGTGTGTCGTAACCCATTCCGATGGAACGAAGGGAGAAGAAGACCAAATTCCGTGTGTGGCGCGACTATGGGAACGCTGTATACGCCTCGTGGATGCGTTGGTTCATGGGTCAAGAACAGGCATATCGTGTTTTCTCCACCGACAATGAAGAGAAGTTGGGAGATGGACTGGAGACCGTCCTCGGATTCTTCGACGTCATATCCTACTTCGGAAAGGAATTGCCAAAGTGGGGGAACGTTTGCCTATACCGACCAATGCTGGACGCCACGTTCCTAAAGTTCGTCAGGGAGAACATGACTTCTCACATGACGGGCCTCAACAGGAAGAGAAGCGGCACAGTCAACATGGAAGTTCCCAGCAAGACCGTCAGCATGGACAGACTGGAGTACTCGAACCCGTTCATCGATATCGAGGAAGCCGGTTCATCAGGCCAAAAGAGGAAAGCAGGCGAGTCCGATGAGGACGAGGCTGATCGTGGTCGTGAACCCGATCGTGCCGAAGAGCCTGAAGCCAAACAATCGAGACTCGGGGACATCGCCTCAAGACGAGCAGAATTGTTGCAAATGTTTCAGGATCTTTGCCATCGCGCTGGCGAATTGCAGATTTGCATGAAGTGCGGAAAAGAATCCCATGAAGGGACATGCAAAGACACCGCAAGGGCAACTGAGTCTGACTCGGCACGCGGCAAGATCACAATGCTATTTCTATCGAAATGGAGGCTCCTGATGATGATGAAGAAATGGCTCCGATGTCCAGCGAACCTCATGAGAAACTGCATCAACCCGAAGCGGAGGAGCCGATCTTCTATCCGAGGAGTTCCACAAGCACAACTACCTCGTGAACCTCAGGAGGAGAACTCCATGTTGGTCAATTTGACCTACACACGAATCCGAACGGAACCATGAAGGAGTACAACCACATGCTCGATTCGTTTGGTGGAGCAAGCCCCTCAGTGATTCCTCAACCCGGTGATGAAGCAGTCTGTGAAGGTGTACGAGGATATTCATGTATGACCAGCACGCTGCCAAAGGGACTACACTTGGAAGTCATGAACATGCAGAACCGAGACACAAGTTTTCCCTATCGGCCGTACAGTGAGTACACAGCGTTTGGGTCCAACATTCACCACCAAGACTTGTTCCTCACGTCAAAAGCACTGGTGAAGATCCTTCGACATCAAATCGGACAAAAGTGGGGGAACTCTATTACTTGCAATGGCGGAGGATGGGTGGACATCGACCACATCCTGAGTCGCGAGAGCGCGTTCCCGCAGGATCGGTACAAGAAGAGCGACAGATTCCAAATGATCGCCGAGTGCATCAGATCGGAGGACGGAAAGCACGAAAGCCAAGACTGCAGATCCTTGCTGCGAAGCTTGATCAATACATCGACATGGAGACGATGGAGGGTCTCATAGCGGCAGGATGGTCGAAGAACGACATTGACTGGATTCGTCGTGAGCATGGCGGATGGTGGCAATCATGGTGCGTTCGTGCGTCATCAGGGCACTCGGATTTCGGATTCGCTCGTCCTGCTGACCTTTGCAACATCTTGTTTCCGAACATGTCCGATCGCTTGGGCGGAGCATTTCACGTGACAAAACCATCAGCCCTGGAAGGTATCACTTTGAGAGGTATCGTTCCTGGCGGCAATGACAGTACGCGAAGATTGGCAGTACACTTCGGAGTATTTGCACCTTGGGACAGCGAAAACATCCCAACCAAGACTGCAACGCACGATGTCAAGGAGGGAGACGACCTCATCGCCATCTACGTGCCAACAAGGAAATTGTCCGTGTACCAGTCAGGAGTCACATCGGGAGGAACGATCGTCGCCTTCGAGACCATTCCCTTCAAAGAGATAAGGGCAATCTGGAGAGTCAAGTCCACGAAGAAAGGACCTGTGAAGGAGGTCAAACGGATCTACTCCCGCGCAGTGATCTGTCCTGGGTTCAAGGACGCTGTGGGCGTGACCCCGGCGGACTTCCTTGGAAACCTCAACAGTTTCCTGGACGATGAAGGTTCAGCGGATGCCGACATCCTGAAGAAGATGGTCGTCGATGCTTGCATCAAGATCGGAGTACCCGAAGCCTTGGACAAATCGTTGGTAGAGATCAGGGATTTGCTCAGCAGATTCATTGTCTACCGCGAAAACGATCCATCAAGTATTTTCATATATGCCCAGCATGCGCTATCATTATTGCAAGGGGATTTTGCTATTGCGCGGCATGCCAATGCGAGTTCATTTCCACCGGCAAGTTCGTGATCCATGTGGACGACGACGAGGCCAAACCATCCGACACCACCAATGTGACGGAGGAAGTGAAACAAGCTCAGCGAGAAGGAGGATGCTGAGCGATTCGTCGCCGAAGAAGAACGACCCGACACAAACGAGATGAGTGAGGAACGGTCTGCAGGCAGATCGTACATCCCGTCGGACATCGGGACGGACATCGACGATGAAGATGTGGGAGTTTGTCCAGAGGAGGATGCGGACGCAATCCATCTCCTGCAAGTCAAAGCCATCTGCGTTGACGAAGCCGGTGAGGCATCGTACCTGTCCGGATTCATTGGCGTCGTACTTTTCAAAGTATGGAAGGTGTTCGCCAACAACGCAGATGTCGTCAAGGAGCCTGGCAAAGAAGGCGGACTCTACTGTCCCTACATCTCGTTCAACGGGAGGGATGATTGGATCTTCAAAGATGTCGATGAGACGAACATTCCAATACCGCCAACCTATGAAGAGGTCACTGCCGCCCCAAAGTTCAAGAATGTGAGGTTCAAGAGCACGAACCACAGGGACGAAGAAATGTTCTTTTGGTTCCTGAAGCTAAGAGGGCTATACTTCATGTACCGGATCTGGACCGCCTGCAATATACTCGGTGTTAAAGCAGAACAGTTGAGAGGTGTCAGTCATCTGAAGGACATTGGTTTCGTCAGCGACGCAATATTCCGTTGCATCGCCCTCGGCCTCAACTGCGATTACATGACCTTCTACCGAACAGATGTGAACATTGGACGCAAGTTCTTGAAACTTGAGCTTGGTGCAATTGTTTGCATTCAAGGAGTAAAAGAGGTCGACACTCCTCTTATCCAATGGTGCTATTCTCGCAACATACATCTGCCTTCGCGATTTATCGAGAAGATCAATCGGACCGAG